CTAATCTAAACGGTTTAAATTTTTTAAATGTCGTTGGAATCACGGCTAAAAATTTTTTCATATGAAGCAGGGGGGCGGATCCAGGATTTTCTCGAGGGGGGGCGGGGGCGGATTTTCAAAAAGAAATCGAAAATTTTGACGACCTTTTTTTTTTAGGTCGACCAAATTGATTTTTTTTGAGCTCTCCCAAAGCACTGTTTTGCCCCTATTTAGGCAAAATTTTCTGCGCCGCAGGCAAATTTTTGAAAAAAAAAACAGTCAAAAAAGGCGTTTTTAGGCACTTTTTGGAAAATTTTGACCAAAAAATTGCGTTTTTTCGGCGCGCGCTCCCCCCTCAAAATTAGTAAATATTGGCGCGAAAGGCGCCTTTAGAAAAATTTTAGGTTCGGTCGGCCAAAAGTGGATTTCTTAAAAAGTACCAAAGGGGGTTTGGAAGTGAAAGTTTAAGGCACAATGGAAAAGTGACCACATTTCATAAGCTCGCACATGTTTTTGTCAAAAACAAGGAATTAAAATTTTCTGATTTTGCATAAAATTCAAATCGTAAAAAACACTTTTTTGCTCGAAATATTCAGTTTTCATTAGTGTTAGGCAGAAAATTAAGTTTTATGCAGAAAAAAGTAATCAATTGTAAAGACTTTTATTAAAAATGTTGTTACAAAAAAATTGATTGTTTTGAATCCGTTACACGGTCTACTTTTGCCACAATAGACGATTCTCTATACAAAATTATTGACAGCAAAAATCATTTATGATAAATTTGAAGCAAAAAAAATCCAAGGCGCTAGGATGATACACTTTAGCCGAACAGTTTCAATCTTTTAAGTCGCAATATTAGAGTATAAAAGAGATGAAAGGGATAAAAAAGCTGAAGCAATTTATTGTTTTGTTTTGTCCCATGTCATTTATTGAAAAGCTGTGAGAGCTTGAAAATTACCAATTTGATGAATACTATAGCGTTCCGAGACAAATTGAGGTAAGTTCCTTCTTCTAAAGGACATTTACTGGATAAAACAACTTTTTGACGGGATTATATCATTAACGAACATCTCAAAAATCCAATCAATGCGGACCATTACTTTCAATAATGACCAATTAAAAAATAAGATGACGAAATTTTTTTTAAATAATGCGAAGTCTAATTGGGGCATTGGAAAAAACCTAAAACAGATAATGAGAAAAAGAACTAAAAAATGCGTCTTATTTTTGCAAGAATTGTACAGCAAAGTTTTGCTCTGCTGCATACTTCAATTTTTTAAAGGACCTTGGTTTTTTGTTTTGCAAAAATCATTTATCCAATAGTAACACGAACCGATTCTGATTTGTCAAAACTTTTCCAACATTCGATCACTCTATCATGAGAAAACATCCTTTAGTTAAAATGCTGCATAATACCACTGTCCTACTTTTTAACACCGCTCAATTTTACAACTTCAAAAGTTTATGTATCCATCTCACTCCTGTAAACTTAAATCATTATCCATATAACTCCTATTGATCAACTTTGCGTTATTTTACGTTATTTTATGCTATTTCTTTGACGTTTTATTTGTCAAAATCCAGATGTACACTTCAACCAAATTTTCCTTTACCCAACAGTCGCAGGTTGGGCGGGGTTTGGATGTAAACGTTTAAGGTGCAAGGGAAAAAAGACCACGGTTCATAAGTTCGCGCATATTTTAACCGATCTCCAGAAAGTAAAACTTTCTGCTTTTGCATTAAAAAACATATAGTGATATATACAAACTTGCGCCAAATAATTTTTTTCTCGAGCTTTAGGCAGAAAACTAAAACAGCTATACGGAAAAAACATATCAATTATAATGGTTTTTATGAAATTTTTTGTATCTGAAAAGTGGATAGTATTGAATCATGTAATACATTATTTAAGTCTAAGTTTGCCACAAAAATTGATTCTTTAGACAAAATTTTTGACAGCAAAAATGCATTTAGATAGAATTTATTCAACAAGCTTCAATTGATAGGAAAATAATTTTTCCCAATAGTTTTGACCATTTAACTCGCAGTTTTAGAGTATGAAAGAAATGAAAGATTCTGAAGCCGAAGATCCAAATAAAAACAATAGATTGTCTTGTCTCATGTCGTTTTTTGGAAAGCTCTGATGACTTTTGTAAATTGCCAGTTTGATTTAAATGAATATTATAGCGATCCCAGTTGAAATGAGAAAAGATCCTTCTTCCGATGGTATTGTTACTTGATAAAAACCATTTTGACGGGGTTATATCATTGACGCAAATAAATCCAGGCCATCACAGTTGATACTGACTGATTGGAAAATAAGCTAAAATAATTTTAAATAGTTTAAATAAATAATGCGAAGTCTAAGTGGAGCATTGGAAAAAAAAACAGATTTTAAACAAAGATAAGTAGAACAAAAAAATTGAGGATCAGATGTTTGCTGTGTTGCCATAATTCACTTTCTGTTGATAATGATTTTGGTTTTGCGAAAAAGTCATTTGGCCAATAGGAACCGCAACCGATTGTGAATGTTTAAAACTTTTCGATCAATCGGTCCCTCCACTATGAGAACACTCCCTTGGGTTAAGCTGCTGCCTAATACCGTTGTCCTACATTTTAACACCGCTCAATTTAACACAGTGAAATGTTCATGTATTCATCTCAATCGTGTATAACTTAAATCGTTGACAATGAAACTCCTTTTGTTTAACTTATCCCCGTAATGATATATGTCACCACCAAAATTTTTTTAAAAGCGTTTCGAATTGGAATTTTATGGATAAAAAATTGAATTTTTGTTGTCAGTTTTCACAAAACCAAAAATTAAAGGGAGACTTAACGGAAGGGGGATTCGTCCACCTACAGTTTACTTCCCCCCAAAGTTTCTAATAATTTAAGAAAATTGTTGAATGGAACATAAAATTTTGTTTAGTAACTTAAAAAAGTAATAAGAATATCGAAATTTTATTTAGATTTACTAACAAAAAAGTAATAAAAACACCAAGTTGCGCAGAAAAAAAAATTAAATCGAACAACAAGTAACCAACTTTAGTTTAAAATATAGAAAAGACTTTATGTTCGTCAAAATGTTCTTATATCAAAAAAATGGAAAAAAATTTGTTTCTTATTGAATTTCATTGTCAGTGAAAAAAAAGATTATGGTTGATTCAAAAAGGATTTTGTTGCCTCGAATCAAACTAATATTACAATCCATTTTTAATTAATTATAATCGATATTTTTTCTGTTTGTGGACACTGAGAATGAAATTCAGTTAGATCGATTTTCATTCATAGGACTCAAATGCGGGGAACCCAATTTCAAATACTGTTGTTCAAAAACTTAAAATCATTTTCATTACGATGCCAAACTGTGCATTTTGTGAATTTTAAGTGGATTCGGCAACAGGCCCTAAACATAATTGTTGCGGAATCCGCAACATTGCTATTTTTCTTTTATCTTCTTGCTGTTTTGGATTCGATGGACAAATAGCTAAAACACTGTATTGCTCAAAATCGCTCCAAACACAGGTAGTTTTGCGGAATATGCAACAAAATTTGTGGAATCCGCAACATTTTGTGGAATCTATTAGCAAATTCATGTGTTTTTTAAACTTGAGCTGTCGTGGAATCCGCAAATTGTAAGCGGATTCCTAAAATTGTAAGCAGAATCCGCGTAATTTTGCGGGTCCCACTTACATTTGCGGAATCGGGAACAACTACTTGAAATCGTTCGTTGCGGAGTCCGCAACAAAACTAAATTGCGGACAAACTTTACGTTGCAGATATTTGCACGCGGAGTCTACGAAAATTTTGTATGCGGAATCCGTTTACATTAAGGAACACGTATAAAGACTTGCCTCTGGAATCCAGTAACATACAGACACAAAATTGTGCGCCTATCCAGTGCACAGTTTGGCCTCGTAATGTTCCTGTTCAATGGTTTTTCGAAGTTTATCAAGAACAGCAGTGAAAATGAACCAAATTGGTTTTTAGTTCTTCTTCTCTTCTCTGTCTTCGAAATAGTGAAGATGAGTTTGTTTCAGGGCTCTCTACCAAGGAGTGTTTGACCTGCACTTCCCTCTGCAAGTAGAGGAGTCCCTCTCGCCCGCCAGAGTGGAAGTGGTTGGGAGGAGCATGTACGAGAAGACTCTGAGCTTCAACTGGACCCTGGAGGGAGTGGGAGACAACTACCATATTTGGAATGTGCCGGTGGACGGAGTGTGTGCAGAGTCGCAGGGGGGCGTCTGTGATGTGGACGTCACAGCTGCACAGATCCACATCACTGGCCTCACTGCAGGCCAAGGTTACATTGTGTTATGTTGATGTGGAAAGAGTCTTTTTTTTTCATATCTCAAAAACATATTAGAACATCACTTACACAGGAAAGTCAAAAACTATAAAAAAAACTTTGAACTGAAGTCTAAAATTTGTCTACTTTTTGATGAACCTAAAAGCAGAATTCTTTAAATGAAAACACTTGGTTTTCGTTTGAATTCATTCTCCATATTATCAATAATCGTATATATAAAAGATGTTTGCTTATATTTTTGATCTGTCATCAGCGTTTCCCAGACCAACCTGAATTCAGCAATCAGCCTTTACTGAAATTGCAATCAGCTCTTTCACGCAATAGAGGCCACACGTTGGGTCATTCTTTCACTCAATTTCAGACACTTGCTGTTGACCTTGCTATACATTTCATTTCAGAGTACTCGATCTTCTTCAAAGCCTTCAGCCACCTCAAAGAGGGAGTGGTAATGGAGATTGTACAGCCGACTTACACAGACAAGAACAGGATCACGACGGATACAGTCGTTGGGGAGCCGAGGAGGATCCGACTGGGGATTGAGACTGACTCGGGAGTGGGTCACGAGCATCAGATCCACCTGCGGACCTCTGACATTGTGCCCTTCATCACCACCAGACCCTTCCTCCTCCATCAGGTGGTGTGGTTCGAGGATTTGAAACCCGGAGGTCACTACCAGTTCGACATCAAGTCCCTCAGCAGGGGCTTTATCCCCATGGTAAGGGAGTACTCCATCACCGAAGTGACCTTCCCAGACAGACCCAGTCAGTACTCCTACTCTCCACAAGTCACCACACACTCCATACACCTCGAATTCTTAGTGGAAGGCGTACAACATGGGTGGATTCTCAAGTAAGCTAGCAACAATCACAGTTAGAACTAGGATAGCCGGTTACAGTGCAAGTAGCACAAACTGTACCGACCATAGTCTCAAAAAATACAACGAAAAAGTGTCTGCAAATTAGTCTCGTATTTATTTGAGCTTGGCGTGATAATAGGAGCTGAACGAAAAAACTAGAGATAAGGCATTCATAGTAAAATCAGCAAATTGAAGAAAAAAAACAATTTTTGCAGAAAAATGACTAGAATAACAAAATAATCACCCTTTTTGAATATTTGAGGTTTTCTATTCAGAAACGCGCTAGAAAACTCAAACAGCTACTTTTATTCGAGTAAGACTAAGGTTTCACAGCTTAAATTAAGCTATTGTAACCTATTAAATCAAAAGTTTTAAAGCTATTTTTCTGCATGCAAGGAAAATTTTTTGAATGTTTCATAATGTCGTTCGATTCGCGACTGAAAAGGCTTCAACGTGATATATCACTCGACCCATTCCGATTACTATTTGTGGTTATTGACTTTGCGTGGAAAACAAAGAAAAAAATGAAACACACTCGAATACCAAATTCCTCCCCGTTTTTCAAATGGCCGGAACAAAAAAGATGGAGAAGAAATAACCAGGTTTGGTCTGCCAGTATCAATAAATTTTTCAGTACTTTCCAGGAAAAAACCCAGTGAAACAAGAAAAAACGGTACTGTTGCAGTACTGGAACAGTATTGTTACAATACTGTCATTTTTTTCAACTTTTTGAATTGAAAGTTATGCCACTTGTCTTGTTAATCAAAAAAAGCTACCGCCACAGCTAAAACCAGCTGAAATCCGCCTGAAAACGCAGTTTCTTTTTGCGAAGTAAAATAGAAATGACTAAGCTTTGATAATCAGAAGGGTTGAGAAAAGTTGACTGCAAACTTGAAGTGTTAGATCAGTTGTCTATTCTTGTTTGTTGTCATTGTTGTGAATTCAATCTTTCAATGCTGTATTTACAATTTTTAGCGCTATTTTTGAAGTTTCTTAGAGCCTTTTTTGCTTTTTAACTCTTTTTGCGATTTTTCAATGCTGTTTTACTACTGTTTCAGTGCTGTAACAGTGCTGATTTATCTCTGTAACAGTTCTTTTTTTTATCGCTGATTTATCTCTGATCAAAGATGATTTGACGCTGGCGCAGTACTGTTGCAGTAAAATAGCAGTACTGTTACAGTACTGCGCCAGCGTCAAATCATCTCTGATCAGAGATAAATCAGCGATAAAAAAAAGAACTGTTACAGAGATAAATCAGCACTGTTACAGCTGTGAAAAGCAGTACTGTTGCAGTACTGTTGCAGTAAAAGAGCAGTACTGTTACAGTGCTGCAACAGTACATTTTTTCACTGCAAGATCAATTAGGGTTAATTTTTTGTTCCGACAATTATTTAAGCCAATTTTGTAAAATCAATTTTTTCTATTTTATAAACGACTCCGTCTCAAATACAAACAAAATTGACTCCTTTTAAACTCATCTCCGAGGGCTCAAAGTGATCGACTTGATTGACTTGGTTGTCCGGCTTCGAGATGACCTCTCAAAAAACATGGGATTTTGTTTAGGTTAAATGGGATATAATAGCCAAAGGGGATATTTAAGGAGGCAACAACTAAAATTTGAACTCTATTGTATTGTAATGTATTGTATTGTATTGTATTGTATTGTATTGTATTGTATTGTATTGAATTGTATTGTTTTGTATTGTATTGTATTGAATTGTTTTGCATTGTATTGTATTGTATTGTATTGTTTTGTATTGTATTGTATTGTATTGTATTGTATTGTATTGTATTGTATTGAATTGTATTGTATTGTATTGTATTGTATTGTATTGTTTTGTATTGTATTGTATTGTATTGTATTGTATTGTATTGCATTGTAATATATTGTATTGTTGTGTATTGCCTTGTATTGTATTGTATGTATTGTATTGTGTTGTATTGTAGTCTTTTGTATTGTATTGTATTGTATTGAATTGTATTGTTTTGTATTGTATTGTATTGAATTGTTTTGCATTGTATTGTATTGTATTGTATTGTTTTGTATTGTATTGTTTTGTATTGTATTGTATTGAATTGTTTTGCATTGTATTTTATTGTATTGTATTGTTTTGTATTGTATTGTATTGTATTGTATTGTATTGTATTGTATTGTATTGTATTGTATTGTATTGTATTGTATTGTATTGTATTGTATTGTATTGTTTTGTATTGTATTGTATTGTATTGTATTGTATTGTATTGTATTGTATTGTATTGTAATATATTGTATTGTTGTGTATTGCCTTGTATTGTATTGTATGTATTGTATTGTATTGTATTGTAGTCTTTTGTATTGTATTGTATTGTTTTGAATTGTATTGTTTTGTATTGTATTGTATTGAATTGTTTTGCATTGTATTGTATTGTATTGTATTGTTTTGTATTGTATTGTATTGTATTGTATTGAATTGTATTGTATTGTATTGTATTGTATTGTTTTGTATTGTATTGTATTGTATTGTATTGTATTGTATTGTATTGTATTGTATTGTATTGTAATATATTGTATTGTTGTGTATTGCCTTGTATTGTATTATAGTGTATTGTATTGTATTGTATTGTGATGTACTGTTTTGTATTGTATTGTATTGTATTGTATTGAATTGTATGGTTTTGTATTTTTTTTGTATTGTATTGTATCGGATTATTTTGTATTGTTTTGTTTTGTTTTGTATTTTATTATTTTGTAATGTATTGTTTTGTATTGTATTGTATTGTATTGTATTGTATTGTATTGTATTGTATTGTATTGTATTGTATTGTATTGTATTGTATTGTATTGTATTGTATTGTATTGTACTGTACTGTTTTGTATTGTATTGTATTGTCTTCTATTGTATGGTTTTGTATTTTTTTTTGTATTCTATTGTATCGGATTGTTTTGTTATGTATTGTTTTATTTTGTATTGTATTATTTTGTAATATTTTGTATTGTATTGTTTTGTACTGTATTGTATTGTATTGTATTGTATTGTATTTTAATGTATTGTATTGTATTGTTTTGTTTTGTATTGTATTGTTTTGTATTGTGATGTACTGTATTGTATTGTATTGTATTGTATTGTATTGTATTGTATTGTATTGTATTGTATTGTATTGTATTGTATTGTATTGTTTTGTATTGTATTGTATTGTTTTGTAGTGTGGTTTGGTATTGTATTGTATCGGATTGTTTTATATTGTATTGTTTTGTTTTGTTTTGTATTGTGTTGTACTGTTTTGTATTGTTTTGTATTGTATTGTATTGTATTGTATTGTATTGTTTGTATTGTATTGTAACGGATTGTTTTTTTTGTATTGTATTGTATTGTATTGTATTGTATTGTTTGTATTGTATTGTAACGGGTTGATTTGTTTTGTATTGTTTTGTATTGTATTGTTTTGTATTGTATTGTATTGTATTGTATTGTATTGTATTGTATTGTATTGTATTGTATTGTATTGTATTGTATTGTATTGTATTGTATTGTATTGTATTGTATTGTATTGTATTGTATTGTTTTGTATTGTGATGTACTGTATTGTATTGTATCGGATTGTTTTGTATTGTATTGTTTTATTTTGCATTGTATTGTATTGTATTGTATTGTTTTGTATTGTATTGTATTTTATTGTATTGTTTTGTATTGTATTGTATTGTGTTGTATTGTATTGGATTGTATTGTATTTTTTTTGTATTGTATTGTATTGTCTTGTATTGTATTGTTTTGTATTGTTTTGTTTTGTATTGTATTGTATTTTATTGCATTGTAATGTATTGTATCATTTTTGTTTTATTGTTTTGTATTGTATTGTTTGTCTTTTATTGTATTGTATTGTATTGTATTGTTTTGTATTGTATTGTATTGTATCATAGTGAGTTGGGGATTTAATTTGAGGGAGTATAGTTCTTTTTCTGTTCTGCTGCAGATCTGACTCGGGCAGTTGTGTGGGGGAGTGCTGGCTGCCAGACTGGGCCAGCAGTGCCACAGTGACTGGCCTCACTTCCGGAGACCTGGTTTCCATCCAGTTCCAGGCATACGTCAACTACACCGGCTTCGACTTGAGGAGGAGTGTGGCTCTGGAGACAGACATTGTGGTCTTTCCGGCCACACCGACTGAGACCACAGTGGCCACTTACACCACAACCACCATCACAGTCTCCTTCCAAGTGACCGGAATAAAACACGGATGGACTCTTAAGTAAATTATTTTGGCATGCAGCAGCAGCCCACATATGAATGCAGATTGCCTGTTTGTTGAAACCCGAGTCAAGATTTTTCACCTAATTTGAAGCAAGATTTGAGCGGTTTGAGCGTTTTTTTAGACGACTGCGCTCAAAATCTTGCTCCTTAATGAGCGGTTTGAACAGATTTTGAGCGCGGTTTATCTAAAAAATATAAACCGTATGTTTATGTATATGTATATGTATATGTATATATGAATGTAAATGTAGGTATATATGAATGTAAATGTGTATGTACTTACATATATACATACAAACATACATATATCGTTTATACGTACATACATAAATAAAAAAAACTTACATACCTACATTTAAACATACATACATACATACAAACATACATAATGACCTACATAAATGCATAAATAGATACATACATACATACACATACATACATACATACATACATAAATACCTTCATACATTCATACACACATACACACATGCATATATATATACATACAACGTGCTATTTTGGCTTTCGAAGAAAAAGGTTAATTAGGCGAGCTCAGTGTAGTTTTTCTATAACCATAAATGAAAAAAATTGATAACAGACTCCGCTCAAAATAAAGCTCACATTTTTGTGATCTATAGAGTTGATATAGTTTATACCCATCAAATAGTTAGTCACGCCATTTAAAACAGATCTTTGATCAAAAAAAGATTTGGATGTTTTTACTCGTCGAGACAACCTCAACCTCGACCCGGGTAGCCTCATATTGCCTTTTCCAGCCCTTTTGATGGTTTCACTCGCTTTTTTCAAACCGCTCATAAACTGCTCAAATCTTGCGTGAAAAACCGTTCAAAAGTCGCCGCAAAAAATGAGCGGTATTCGAGCGTTTTGTAAAGCTTGAAAAATTGCCCAAATAGCTCGAATCTTGCTGGAAAACCGCTCAAACCATTCACATCTTGGGAGGTTTTTGAGCGGGATCTCGACCCGGGAAGAGTTAATTGAAGCAAGCAGTGTCTCTGGTTGGGGAGTTGTCAACCTTGAGGAGTTGTCACTCCTGTAGCCATCATCGAGACAATTTTGTTTTAGTTTTCAGCTTAACAAACGTAACATGTTAGATTACTCATCTCCAAATTATTCTTGATAAAAAAGTCCAATTTTTTCAAAAAAAAATTACACAACACCTTTTTTATTGGTAACCAGAGTTGTTTTGCATATTTCTAAAGAACAATTTTTACCTTTTTCTTTTGTAATGTACATAATTGTTGCCAGAGCACTTACTTTTTCACAGTTTTTTTAAATTATAAGTCACCGAAATCAAGCCTTTGTAATCTCTCTGATGAAATGATTTCTAAAAGAAACCAGAACTAAATAACTTGACTCTTGGTGTCACGTTTTGATGTAAAGCGAGAACCAATTACATGTTTTTTGGCAAGCAAACAGCCGATCTCATCAAATTTCGTACAACTAAACAGAGCGTAAGCAAGGGTAAAGAAATAAAACAATCACCCTTTTTGTAATTTTCGGGGAAATTTCTACATATAATTTTGTTCATTAAATTGGGTATATCCTACAAAGCAGCGATACAGTAAAGAGATACAAAAACCTACTGTACTGCAAAAAACAAAACCTGAACTTGTTTGTGATACTCCTTCAAAAATTTGATTTGTCATTTTTTGCTAAACTGCCGTACTGACAACTCCAAGTTAGTGCTGACTGTTCCGAACTTTTTCTTAAAAATTAGTTTGTTCCTCTTGTTTTGAATCAATATATTAAGTTGAAATTTGGGTTCGACTTCCTAAAGACAAGAAAAAAAAGAGATAGAATCGAACAAAAAGAAAAAGGTAAGAAAAATAGTTTAACCATATACAGGCGAGAGATAACTAAAATTAGATGGCGGCAAAAAACTGTAAAAGTTTGATTATAGGTTGTCTACGCATTTCTTGCGCACTCTTTCAAAAAACACAACAAAAAATTAGATAAATTTACCTGTTTTTCTTTATTAGAATTTTTGTAAATTTATTCAAAACCTCTCTTATTGTCTTGTGTTTTTGCAAAACTAATGTAACTACTACATTGGCCTGTTATATTTGAATGATTAATTGAAATTTACATGAGCATTAGAAGCGTGTAAAAGTTGAATTCTCCTTTTAAAAGCACTAAAAGCACTAAAAGCATCTTTTCCTCGGTACCTGCTCTTGGTAAACTTGATACAATAAAAGAAAATCTCATCGACACGATTGAAACAATTGCATTGACCCATGATATTGCAGATTTTGAATAATAAGCCCAGTTTTAAAACTTCTTAGTTGAAGTGCAATTAAATAAGGCAATTAGTTTTGTGATTTGCTTAAATTAACCACCTCAAAACCTGAAACATTATTTAAACTATATAAAAGTATATTTTGGTGGAGCGAAAACATAAAAAATTTTATCTTTGATAATTAATAGATACAATCCTAGCTTTTTCAAAATTTGCTCGCTTATATTTTGCAATACTGAATCGTAATACATAAAGACCAATATTAAATTCATTATTTAGAATCAATAAAAAAAAATTAATAACATGTTTGACTCCTAGTTTTTTATTTTTCTTTTGTACTTTGACTGATTAGCGCATCGCCTCGACATTTCAAGCCATTCTCATGATCTACAGACGACAAGATCTTTGAGTAGCGACTTCAATTAGAAGGAACTATGAGATCGTAGAACAGAACCCGCATTTGCCATTTGCAACTCGATGGATCTCCTGATTTCTTGGAGCAAAACTTTTTTTACAGTGAAATGAAATCATTCAGTGATTTTTTTGGCTACAGCAGCAGAATCCAGTTTGCAGAAGTTCAATCTATTTTCAGCGAAAATTATGTACAACGGTCTACCCGAACAAATCCAATTTTTTTTTACGTCAACTTACAACTAAAAAGACATCAACGACAAAACACACAAAACCAATGCGTTGCACAACATATCGAAAGCTTCGCCAGAAGAAACTTAAAATCAGAACACACGAACGTCGAAATAGTACCTTCAAGTAATTCAGACGATCGGCGAGCAGAAACAAGCAAATAGATAGGACGTTAGCAACCAAATTACGGATATAACGACTTACCTCTTCATCATCAACTAGCGCTCAAAACTATCAATCGACCAACAGACAGGATGTCTACACTGAGACAAGAAAAATTGACAGCAGTCCCAATCGTTTCTCGTGTTACCTCAGCTTTCAAAGGACTCCAGGAATTCGGAAACACTACAGCTCCAGGCATAATCCAGGAACACAGATACACTACCGGATCACTAGAGCCCAATTTTAGCATTCGCACGAATCGCCATTCCCATTTAAGGTAAGGATCAGGATCTTACATTGCAACTCAGAACGGAAACAAAAACAAAGTTTTTCTCTCGATTCCAGCAATACCAACGAATCAATGCCAATAGCTTCGGAGATGCAGATGCGCAGCCTAGTACGGATACAATTTTCGAGTTTGACGACGAAGAATGCCCACGGAAACCGTAGTCTACAACCAACGGCAGCCCAACATATCAATCACCGGAGTGCAATCAGCAAGGTTACAAATCCCATCGTTTACTGTCACTATTTTGCAATCTCATCACCTTATGCAAGTGGGATTATTCGAGCGGCCTACCAAAACTCTGAATCTTGAAACCCAAGCTGGTGAACAATAAAAATCTGATACTAAAACTATGCTTCAACAGTTTTAATAAAACCCTCAGAAAAATTTTAAAACCGAAAAAAACTATGAGTAAGTTTCTGATCTAGTTTTTACTCGCCAAAAGCAAAAAACAGGATACCGATCAAAAAAAACTGATGCTTTTTGAACGAAAACCAATTCTGACTTGCAATTATTACCAGGAGGAAAATTTCCAAACCTCTTCATTGTTAGCATATTTTTACATCAAATCTTCAACGCCATCAAATAGATATTCCTTGACGCAAACAACCTGGACAGATAACTTCAACCCACACTAAGCGAAATGCAAGCAGGGCCCTTCTTGTAAGAACGAACATAACCTCATGCAGTGTCCACAAAACTCATCTTCTACGCAACCACAACGCTACAAAATCGTAAGACAATCTGAACTATGTGTCAAGTGCCTATGCCCGCATCACATTAGAACCAATAGTATATCCTCACTCAAACCGTCTCTGCCCAAACAAGTTGATGAAATCACTTTTTGTTGTTACTGCCCATCACGACCTGTTTTACCCTACAATACCTATTCAAAGACAAGTTTGTGACTCCATCATTTCTAAAGTTGAACTCAAATAAATGACCATTGAAATCTCTTTTCACAGATACCAACAAAATCACTATATTTACCTCAGTATATGCCTCTCAGCGGCTTTTTTCGGTTTCGCCAGTTTTTGACGTCAATCGCTTTTCATCGTGAAAAATGTTAAATCATTATCGCCGCAGTTTTCACTTTATGCCTAAAAATGAAGTCAGAGTGAGTGAACAACCAAGACTACAAAGTATAAAAACGACCTGAACGACAATTTTCAATTAGCAAAGATATTGAACCAGCGCTGATTTGTATCTTCAAAAGAGCAAAGCGAAAATTTTTCATTAAAACTATTAAACATCTGCAACAAAATCGATACCTCGACGTGAAAAAAAACCTGATTCAACACAAACCATATGAAGACCAGAAAAAAAAGCTTCGTTCTCGCATCATATTTTAACTGTTAATTTTTTTCTACATTACGCAAGCCAGATTTGAATGCGTTAAGGACAAGAAATTGTCAGTTGCTTCGTGCAGCACCGCTACCACATCATTGGGATACGACACGCTCTTCGTTAAATCGCTCATCACTATTCTCTGTGTCGTCGATACCAAGCGGACAGACTCCAGCCTATCATGGCTTTATTAGTATTTAAATTATGACCCGACAAAAATCAACTTTTTTTGTTCACCAACACAGGGATAAATGTTTTTGGCCCCTTCTACAATGAAAGCAAAAGATAAATCGCGAAGCACTACGAGTTTTTGGAAGGTCTAACAACTTTAGCAGTTAATTTGAAAACTGTACAGATCTGACCACTGATTCGCTGATCAATGCAACTAATCGGTTTTAACAGGAAGAGGAAATAGCAAAACACTCACCAGCAAGAAATAAAAAAAGTAAAAGACGACACAAAACTTGTTGACAATGGGGCCTGCTCTTTCAAAACATTTCGGCGAAACATCCGATGGTTCTTTAATCCCTCAAATGGCCTCCATTTAGTTGGGGCCTTAAAACGCTTGATTCAAATAGCAGATTTCAAGAAGACAATCCTCAGATTCTTTGGATTGCAAAAGCTCACACTTGGCTCTTTTCAGACAATTCTAACCGGAACCCAAATGATATTGAGTTTCAGATTTTTGACAATTGTAGTGGACTACGCTGAAAACTACTATTAAGCAGCCTTCTACCAGGAGTATTCGACGACAGCGTGTCGCTGACTTAGATTATGTGGAACCAAGTTCGACATAAGATGAAACAGCTGTTGAAACGGTTGAAGTAAAAGAATTACCTTCACTAATGAAGCGCCCCAAAAGGAAGGAAAAGCAGTCACCACTGATAGTTGGAAACGTAGTGTGGCTTCTCAAAAACTCCATGCAACAAGGTATATTGAACGTGTGCTATATAAATGGCCGATTGGAGGAATATTCGGGAAGAAATGGTACAACACGAGTGATGACAGTGAGAATGGCTCAGGCACGTCATGGTTTTTACGTTATGGTTGTTAATTTATGGTTTTTTAAATTTTTTTTCGCCACGTTTTTTCGCGCGGTTTTCACTTGGGGCCCCGAGAGTATATTGTCGAAACAACTACATTTTCCCCAATCTTTGTACATTGAAAGTCACTGAAATCAAGAATTTTTAATCTCTCTGATCTAATCATAATCACTCTTGAGGTAAACCAGAACAAAAAAAAGATGACTCCTGGAGCCATGTTTTTCTATACTTAGCCATATGAGGCCCCTACTTTTCACTTTGGTATGATACATGAACAAGACTGCTCGTTTATCAAGGCAAAGCCCCGAATGTTCCGACTGCCTCTTAATCCATATCGAATAGTTCTAGGGAAAAGTTAAAAGTGAAAAACTAAACATTTTGGACAGTATCATAGATCAAGTCTTAAAATTTGAGTTGTAAAAAACTAATGCGACCAATTAGCTAGCCTAAATTCAATTTGAATCATTTTTGTTGTGCGGGATATTTTGCCACGCATAGATAATTCTCGTTACGCTTTCAGTATTATGGTTAAAACCTGAAAAGCGCGCATAAATAAGTCCAGAGCATAGCCAAATTGGCAATTTTCAAGCTCCTAAAACTTTTTTTAAGTTTGATTTCAGGGAGTCAATTTCTTCAATAGGCCACAAATATTTTTTTTATTAAAACCTATTATTTCCATCGCCGAAAACTGATTGAATGAAAAAACGACACCAAGCTAAAATACTCCGTTTTCCTTCGAAATTCGGAACAATAATTTACAACGTTTTTATGCTCATGTTATGCTCTTGCAAATTGCGATGCTGATTTATTGGCTCATTTGCGGCGACAAGTGAAAAACAAGTAATTGCTATATTTGCTCAAAATCTTCGAGTAAAAGTGCCGAAAATCAAGATTTTCCTGCCTTGTTAGGGTTTTCAACTTTCCAGACCTCTTTTTTTTAAATTCGCCTCGCAAAGATCCGAACCTCTGCTCTCGAAGGCTTATCGAATGCAAAACAAATGGAAGAACATTAACAATTGTTGACAATGATTGATATTTTGTTTTCTATTGAAAAGTTGAAAGGTCGGACAGCCCTTGAAGTATTGTTAACATGATGTTCGTGCTGTGTAGTTCTGACAGTGGCAGTTGCTCTGGAGTTTGCGACATTGCCAGTTCTCTTTCCACTCACACTATACACAGCATCGTGCCAGGCACAAAAGTGGACATATACCTCAAGGCATACGTGGAGTATGTGGGTCATCCTCGCACCCTCACTTTCGATCACCTCCTCATCCAACAAGTCACCACCCCCGCAACACCCTCTTGGGACCCTGGTTACCCCGAGGAAGAGACACACAAGATCAGCACTCGCTTCACAGTAGCCGGCACTCTACACGGGGGATTTCTAAGGTAAATCAGCACTTTAGTTCTCTTAATTGGGGCCACTCGTCACAAGGGAGGAAAAAATGAACGTGAAACGATCTGTTCGGCTCCGATTTTTTTGTACTTCATTACGTTTAACTTATTCACTGTCGCACCTTGTTAAGCTCAGCAGCCTATTTGATCTTTTTTATTTTTTTTGTGTGTGCTTAGCTTGCCAGCAGTGCTATCAGCGCGACTTTAGCTGCAGCTTATTGATCTCTTCTCTTTATTTTTTCAACCAAGTCGTTTCGTTTTTGTTTTTGACCGCCATAGTTTAGTTTTTGACCGCCATGCTAATGTGTTGTTTAACTCATACGTCTTTTTGCAATACATTTGGAGTTTTTGACCAAAAATGGAGTAAAATTTAAGTGTAAGCGCGAGACGCATTAGCGTCACAGGCGCCTTTGAAACATTTGCATTGTGGTCGGAATGATGCTGGCGGAAAAGAAAAGTTAGTTCCGAGAGAGCACCAGTGGGGAAACAGGGCTCCTTGAAATGGGTGGAGGGGTGAATGAGGTTGAGCTGCCGCGTCAGTAAAAAAAACAGAGCTTGGATTTGTTAATTTACAGCAATGATTGCTCCGCGTCCGCATTATTATGTCTTAAAGTAATTAAAAGCTTCTATGAGCATAAAACTTTGCGGGAAACTGCCGCCTGACGCACACATTTTTTCTTGCATTTGAGTGAGGAAAGAATCTTGTTTGAGATCACATTTTTTCTTCCATTTGAAGGAGGAAAGAATGTTGTTTGAGATCACATTTTTGCTGCATTTGAGTGAGGAAAGAATGTTGTTTGAGATCAAGCAGTGGGAGTTGTTCGTCGGACTGTTCAATCGGAAGCACGCAAACCAGTCGGGAGATCGAGTCAGTGGTGCCTGGAACAAAAGTGGAGCTCACTCTCTTCTTCTACGTCATGTACAGTGGGTTCGAGAGAAGAGACGGCCAACCCCTCACCACTCACGCCATCACTTATCCCGCACAAGTGTCCCAAAAGAGCCCCCCTCTGGAGTCCACTCAACACATTACACTCTACTTTCAATCCGAACCCACAAAACATGGCTGGCTCATAAAGTTAGTCACTCTTCGAGGATCTACTCATTCCTAATTGTCGTGATAATTGACCTGATTGGGCTGCACTGACAGCTGTATTGAAGAGGGTAGGACAGGCGCCTCTTAACAACAGGGTTGTGGGACGTTACAATTTCATTTCTGTCACGGTTGCAGGATTTCTAATGTCTTCCGCCTACTTAAAGTGTGAACGGCCAGGCGCGCATCGAGGAATTTTTCGAGGGAGGAAAGGTGGCGGACTTTCAAAAAAATTGAACGTCTTGTGGACCTTAGTTTAGGTCGACCAAGTTGATTTTCTGAGCTCTCTGAACTGCTTACACACTTAAAAATATATTTCGACCAAACTTTCTGAGCCGCAGACGAATTTTTCAAAAGATAGGCTAAAAAAGGCTTTTCTTAATGCACTTTTTAGAAAATTTTGACCACTAGAAGATTTAGAAGATTTTGACCACTATTGTGAGATATCCATATTTGGCGACGGAAACTAAAAATTGTCTAATATATACCAATTTTGAGGGAGGAACGCAATTTTTTGTTCAAAGTTTTCCAAAAAGTGCCTAAAAACGCCTTTTTGGCCTGTGTTTTTCACAAACTTTCTCTGCGGCACGGAAAATTTGACCAAAACAAGGTCTTTTTAGTGATTTGAGAGAGCTCGGAAAATCAATAAAAGGTCGACAAAATTTTCGAGATTTTTTTTGAAAATCCAACCCCCCCCCCCTCCCCCCCTCGAGAAAATCCTAGATCCGCCCCTGATTGAAGGGCCAGAAATCTTGTCGATCTTTTTTAGACATATCAAGACTCTGTTAAGATCAAAAACGGTGTCAAGTCTTCTTCATTCATATTGGCGGGAAAAAGCACCTGTAGGTCAATCGAAAGTAGTACCAACAGAGACTTGTGTCGAATTCTCGAAGAAGCGCATCCGCCCATCACTAAATGCGCCCGTCTGTGACGCCGAACTCAAAGTTTCATTGATGTTCTGTTATGACGTATGAACTGTTAATAAACTAGGCTGCAGTCGATTGAACAGAAGTGAATTTGATTCGTTCAGATCTGACTCTGGAGCCTGCCACCCTTCAGATTGTGAGAGCAATGAACCCTCGAAAGATTCCTATGATGTCTCCTCGCTAGTTCCCGGAACTCTGGTTCTTTTCTCTGTCAGAGGCTATGTTCACTACCCCGGCTTCTCACGAAGGTCAGGAGAGCCATACAATGTGGCTGCAATCACAAAACCAGACACTCCAGCTCAAGTTGGAGCAGTATTCATTCATACAACAAGCTTGACAATTGGCTTTTCGTCTCTCGGAACGAAGTCTGGATGGCTAATCACGTATGATTTAAACAATCATTATTACATTTCCACAAGTAATAATCATTTTAATTTCAAACCACAATCTAATCAGCATACATTCAATAAAATTGTACGATTAAAACTTAGTTCGGCTTGGGAGAACAACAACAAAACATCAACTTGTCCAAAATTAATCCCAAAAACTCATCAGCCATGTATTTTGTTTTGTTTAAGCTTTCAAAGAAAATGAAATTTGGTTATTCAGTAAGGGATGCTTTGGTTATTTAGTAAAGGATGCTTTGGGATGCTTTAGTTAATGGAAAGGGATGCTTTGGTTATTCAGTTAATTTTCGAACTTCTAACGAAACAGTTTTGGTGGGAACTTTTTAAGGCTGGAAAACATATTTTTAATCGAGAGCTCAAATGTAAAAACCCACCTGTGATCATTTTTCATTAAGTTATGGGGGTTTGAAAATTGCTAATTATTTGGCCAATTCGGTATAATTAACTTGCAATACTTTGCGTTCCTATAGCGGCGGTTTAATGCGTTCCAAAATGAAGTGACGCTAGTCAATTGTCCTTATTTTTAGGCTATGAGACGCTTAATATATTCGTTTGTTATTCTAATCAGTAAGAACAAGTGGGGGTTATGTTGACGGAAAAATTAGAAAAAAAAATTTTTTTTTTCAATTATTTCGAAAAAACAATTACTTCGATAAAACAAATTACTTCAAAAAAACATTTCAATTGGCCTTAAAATGCAGTCCGGACATCCATGTTATCGCCTTGAAAAACGAGTAGACTTGCTTTTTCTCCTGAAAAGTTTTGATTTTTTCAGTAGCAACTTTAAACGGATTTATTAAAAATCATCCGTAGGTATTGTTTTTTTTGGAACCAAACTTATGAAAAAATCGTGTCTCATGTGATTTTTTTGCAATGTTCTGGTTGTTTAAAACTTGTCACTTCGGGATAGTCAAGGCGGGATAGTCAAGGCGTGAGTGCAAAATAAATCAGTAAAAATTTACATGGCGTGTGGGAGGTATAGTTTTCAAAAAACTCAACAAGGTTTCACCATTTTGTCTACTTCAGCATAGACCTCACAAAGCAATCCGGTCGTTCTGAATTTTCTCTGATACAAGCAGGTTTGTTGTTCCGACTTCCGAAGAAAGTGATAAAATTTTTGTGTTTGATGTGATTTTTTTCCAAAAAACTTCGACTTTTTCACTAACAATTTTGATGGAGTATTTTCTAATTCGAAAGGGTATTATTTCCTTGAGTTTTAAAAAAGACAAGACTGCTCGTATCAGGGCGAAGCCCTGAATGTTCCGACTGCCTTTTAAGGTTTATGGAGCAGAAGTAACAGAAACAAATTACATGTATAAAAAAAAGTTTGAATTTTTTAATGAAATTATCCCCCACACGCCATATAAACTACGAGAATAAATTTGGCTCCTTGTAACAAATCAGCTTTGGCAAATAAGCTTCTTTCAACTAATTTGGAACAATTTCTAAGACAAATTAAATCTCCGCTTACGCGTTTATATCGCGAATTATATCGCGCGTTAATGTCCCAAATTGGCCAAAATGGAATCTTTTAAACCCTCATAACTTCACGAAAAAATGTCACATGTGAACTATATTTTCCAATTTAAGCTCAGAACAACAATACCTTTCGAATGAATTTAAAAAATTCTGTCAAAAATGGCTAGTTAAAAAGTCGAAATTTATCTTAAGAAAAAAAAAACCCACCCCGAGCACAAATGTTCCGTTACTTTCGTATCGAAAGTCGGAACAAAATTATTTCAAATTATTGTGGTTTACATTTTCCCAATGCAAAACATTTAACGCATGATTTATTTCTTTCTTTTAATGCTTAAGCGGAGATTTAATCCGTTTTAGAAAAGATTCCAAATTCGTCTTAGAATACCGTCTTAGAAACTGAGGCATGCTGTTTTGATGCATTTAACACGTCTAATATATGCAATATGCTATATGCGAAATGTATTATTTTGTACGTTACAGAAGATTTTTGTAGTTTACAAGGCGGTTGATTTTCAAAAAAAAACTCTCAAAAGTTTTTAAAAATGTTCATTGTGAACACTACTCCATCGGTCATAAAAGACAGTTGAACATTCGTAGGCTCAGCCATGATGCAAGCAGTCCTGTTAGGCGTTGTGATATCAAGGATATCATGTTTCAAGGATACGGATTTTGATAAATTTGAGTCCCATCAGAATTATCTGCGGCTGAAATAGCTATGAAAATTAGCAATGAAAACTATCTTTGAAAGTCAAAACCAAATCGGAAGTTATATGCTACTCACAGCCCAACTATCCATATCAGTAAAATTAGTGAGTGCAATGCACTAAATAGGTTTGTGTGCTCCTGAGGTTTTCCGGTGATATAATACAATGGGTGGTAGCTTCAAATTCAATAGCTGGATCGCTTTTTGTTATACTTCGCACATTATCTAAAATTTATTTCAAAAGCTATCTTATTTTCGGCCGGATAGATTCGTGCAACTTCTTAGTCTAATACCGATCTTAATCTTACTCTTATATATCTTAGTCTCAATAGATCTAGAGTATACTGGTTTTGTTACGAGTCGGTCTCTTGGAGAAAGCAACTAAGTTGTAAGTTAAATTCAAATCGCTCTGGTGCTGAAATTACAAGTAATGTCAGCACTTACAAATAAGTGGGTTGTTAGTTTGATGGAGTGTGATTGGTTAGTCTTTAATATTTTATAGGGATAAAATATCTAAATTATAACCAATAATAAATTATAGTTTGGATCTGGTTCCACCCATTCGGGGTTCCACCCATTCGGAGTTTTTTGTTCTTCGACTTCTATCTGTAATGGAGGATGGATGATGGTCGTTTGTATTTCGCGAGCATCATTTTTATTCCGTTCTTGGAGGAGGAAGCTCCAGGAAGCTGGAATTGTGGATATCATTCTGTCATTCAACAATGATTGTGGCCGCCAACAAAATCAATCTGATTTCCAAATGGTTTGTTATGATCGTTTGTTCTTGTTCGGCGGAGAGAGAACTGTGTTTCGATCTTGTTTGGGAATGGCGTGAAGCTCGAGTTTGGAGGGAATGCCTTGTAACTGGGATCTGTACGTATTGAACATCGAGGTGGTCATTGGTCAATTCATTGAAGTCCTTTGCTGCGATGTCAAGTCGTACTTCAAATCCTTTGAGTTGTGACTGTGGGCGGCATATCGGTTGTGTTCAGCCATTCTGTGGATTGAGTGTGATGGGGTCGTCTTAGTTTCTTGATGCTCGTCTTCTTGATTGTGTTTGATCTATATACTGCATTATATTATTTACATTATAAATTTTTGTTTGTTCTGTTTTTAGTTATGATTTTTTATTAGTTTTATCACAAAAGCTTTTAATTTAGTTCTGTTATTTTTAAAGAGGGACTCACTCTTGAGTAAAAAATTGTCAAAAATAAGGAGTGGGTCACAAAGCATGGTTCCTAGCACGGTGGGTTATGCCGGCTATAAAGCATGCTCAGGACGTCCTCTTCTGGTGGGTTAGGCCAGGAGTGAGGTTATGATTTCATGCTGGTTTTTTATAGGGTCCTGTTTTGTGTTAACCTTTTGTGTTGTGTTTGTTTCCACTTTTTTCCTTTTGTTGTTTTAGTTGTGTCTTTTTCTCAAAAATCAAATTGTTTGGTTTGGGTTTGTCTTTCGACTTTTTGGTGTTTTATGCTTTCTTTTTTTAGATTTATCAATAGTCTTCAAAAGAATAAATTATCAGTTCTTTAAGCTGGTTTAGTCCGGTTTGCTTACCGTGGGTTTTCTTTTCTTAGTAATGCTGTTAGTTTGTGGTTTATGGTGCTTAGTAAGCTGCGTTGGTTAGTTTGGATTATTATAGAATTCCTTTCCAACCGGGCTAAAAGAAAGTTTGAAACCTGTTAATACTTATTTGAATGTTGTTAGTGAAGGTTATTGTTAGTGAAATTCATTATTTTAAACAATTCGTCTTGGGCGAGCTGCGCGAGCATGAATAGAATTTGTGTGCAAGTGATTTTTAGACAGAAACGTCTTTCAAAAGGTTAGTTCTGCTTGCATTTGTATAAATTTACTATTGAAATTGTTCAAACTTACTGCTTTGTGGGGATTGAAATTATTAAATTAATTTCATTGTTTTTAGATTTACTTCATTGGGGAAAAGGATTTATATATTAATTTACTACTGTGGGGAAGAAAATTTACTGCATCATTCATTGCGGTTTGTTGTTAGAAGTTTATAAATTATATAAAACTTTCTAAATTGTATTTGGTTTTTCTGTTTGTAGATGATCGTGATCTGAGGACTAAAGAAAAAGAAAAAACATTTAATAAAGAAAGGTTAGTTTTATTTCGAATTTCTCAGTTTTTAATACATCAATTCTTATTTACCTGATCATCGGGAAAGAATCCATGAGGGAAAACATCGTGGATTGCGTCAGATGTGGTTAGTAGCTTTGCTAACATGCGAATGATGTTTTTAGTCTGAAGTAGTGGCCAAAGCAATTGGAGTTCCTTAATGATCCTTAGTTCTTCAATACCAATGGAAAATTCGTAAGGTGTGTTCTGAATAAGGCTTAAAAGCTTGTGATTATATTTAGTATTGTGTATAAATTCTAAAATTGAAAATTCGACAGGTTGTATGTATTTGTGCGGGACAATTAGTGGTCGGGATTCTTCTACATTGAAAGTTTTGGTTAGGGGACAGAATATATACATCTGGGTGATGGGATCATAGTTGTGGAGGACGCCTTGAAAATTAGTATTTTTAATACAATATGTGAAGTTACGAAAAATTGGTGATGTGTACTTAGAGTTACTGAATTGATATCTATGATGGGGTTGTCGTGATGATGTATGTAAGTAAAAGTGATTTTGTATGAACTTATAGTAAGTGTAAGTATGTGTCTGTGTAGTTCTTAACATGATGTCATGTCAGCAGTGCAAATCTCGTTCTATGGGCGTGAGGAAGTGGAAGGTTAGTGAGAAGGTTTCAAATTTTTTTAAAAATGATTCATAAGCTTGAGTATCACGAAGTGCTTCTGAAATGATGTG